GTCCACTCAATACCAGGCTGTTAGCCAGTCTCTGCAACGAACTGGGATCGGATCATCAGGGCCTGCTGTTCCACACGGTCCCAGCTCGCTGACCACCTGACTGGTTAACAAGGCTGGCATATTTGTCTTGCATATTTGACAGACTGAACGGACTTAACATGTCATTGCAAGGTGAAAACACAAGCATCATGTCCCTGAATGATAAAATCTGCGCATTCAAGAGGAAAGTGCATCGCTGGACTGTGCGAGTTGAAATGGGCAGGATTGATATGTTTCCTGAGCTGGAGGAATTCATAGAGGAAAATTATCTTAGTGTTAACTCTGTGAAGAAGTCTATCACTACCCACCTGCAAGCGGACTGGCAGTACGACTGGATAAGATCACCATTCACTGTAACGACCGCAAGTCATCTGTCATCCGACATGGAGAACGCACTGGCTGAACTGTCAAGTGACCGCACATTAAAGACAGCTTTTAATGCGAAGACGCTTGCTGAGTTCTGGATTTCAGTCGAGAGGGAATACCCACAGCTTTCGCAGGCCGCGATGGACGTTCTGATGCCGTTTGGCTCCACATACCTGTGCGAAAAGACTTTCTCGGCACTGACATATATAAAAAATAAATACAGATCGCGTCTAAACGTGGAGGATGATCTCCGAGTGGCCGTCTCCAAAATGAAGCCCAAGATGGACTTGCTGTGCTCCATGCATTAGGGGTGGGCGATACCACAAAATCTGGATTCGATCCGATACCAAGTATTTCAGGGCCAGTATCGCCGATACCGATACCGATACTTTTTCAAATGAAAAGCTTCTTATGTACTTTCATGTAGGGGAGAGCTGCATGACATGATTTTTGAGCTGAATGCATCATAAATAGACTAAATCTGAATTCATTTTCATGATTAAAGACAGGACAGTTTTTATAGACAAATAAACGTTTTACTTTTGCAAATTTAAAGTGCAAACATGAAAAATATCAATACAAAATGGCCACAGTAGCGAACTGCCTTCTTGCACAGATCAAAGTTCGCTAAGTTTTCATTGACAGTGAAAAAGCTCCACACAACGCTCCTCTGTCTCTCAGCCATCATGCGCGTGTGTCGTACTCGCGAGTCGCTGGCTGCTGCTGTCCTGCCCTGCTGGCTGCTGTCAGTCAGCTTGATAATCGGCGTTCAGGCAGGGAGCGCGCTGCGCGTGCGCGAGCCTCGGGAGAGGAGGACAGCAGTGGAGAGAGAAGAAACGAGCGTATATAGGCCTAATAGTTTTTGATTACATTGACGAGTAGAGGAGAGGGGGAAAAAAAGTATATCGGAAGTATCGATATTTTGGGATCGATCCGCCCACCCCTACCATGCATATTGCCCACCCGTCTCATTAGGTGAGATTAACGCTGAAACTGTCAGGATTCGGGAAAAGGTAGGACCCAAATGCAGTTTAAAAAGGGAAGCGGGTTTCAAAATGTAACTAATAGCGAGCTTTATTTACAAAAAAAAGCTGTTGACAATGAAAAATACTAAACAAAACCATGAATCCAAAGAGTAGGTAACACGAGGTAATCCAAAGAGTAGGTAACACGAGGTAGCATCCAGACAAAACTGACCGTGACAAACATGAAGGGTGACAGGAAAGACAATGAACCGACAAGGAGCACAGGGGAAGACAAGACTAAATACAAAGAAGGGTAATCACAGGACAAGACACAGCTGGGCAGGGGAGGCAGAAACACAAGGGCAACAGGTGAACACAATCAGACACATGAGGGAAAACACAGGAAGGAAGACAAGACACAGGGAGAACATAATTTCAACATAAAATCATCACCAGACAGACAACTAAGATTGTGACAGAAAACTAGGATTGTGACAGAACCCCCCCCCCTCAAGGGACGGATTCAAGACGCTTCAAGTCCAACACTTCCAAAAGGGTGGGTGGAGGACCAGGAAGGGGTCTCGGGCGGACGACCCGGGGGGCAAGGCAGAGGAACAGGAGGTGGTCTCGGGCGGATGGCCCGGGGGCAAGGCAGAGGAACAGGAGGTTGTCTCGGGCAGACGACACCGGGAGAAAGGCAGAGGAACAGGAGGTGGTCTCGGGGGCAAGGAAGAGGCAGAGAAGCGGCTAAGGCCGCGGCGGGCATAGTCAGGGAGCCGGGCACAAGGACGGACCGGGTTCGTGGCCAACTGGACCACCGGCGGAATAGGATCTGGTGTCGGCGGGACACCCGGCAGGACAGAGTTCGTAGCCGGCGGAGCCAACGGCGTAACAGGAACCCTGGACGGGACATGGGCTGGTGTCAGTGGGACCCCGGACAGAGCAAGGGCTGGTGTCGACGGGACCTCCAACAGGACAGGATATGGTGTTGGCAGGAAACCTGGCGGAGCAGGTGTCGGCAGAACCCCCAACGACACAGGACATGGAGTTGGCAGGACCCTCAGCGGAACCCCCAACGACACAGGACATGGAGTTGGCAGGACCCTCAGCGGAACCCCCAACGATACAGGACATGGAGTTGGCAGGACCCTCAGTGGAACCCCCAACAACACAGTACATGGAGTTGGCAGGACCCTCAGCGGAACCCCCAACGACACAGGACATGGAGTTGGGACATGAGTTGGGACATGAGTTGGGATTAGAGAAGGGACATGAGAAGGGACTTGAAAAGTGACTCAAGAGGGGACTTGAAAAGGGACTCGAGAGGAGATTTGAAAGGGGACTCGAGAGGAGACTTGAGAGGGGACTTGAGAAGGAACTCGAGAGGAGACTTGAAAATGGACTCGAGAGGGGACTCGAGAAGGGACTTGAGAGGGGACTCGAGAGGAGAATTGAAAAGGGACTCGAGAAGGAACTCGAGAGGAAAATTGAAAAGGGACTCGAGAAGGGACTTGAGAGGGGACTAGAGAGGGGACTTGAGAGGGGACTCGAGAGGGGACTTGAGAGGGGACTCGAGAGGGGACTTGAGAGGGGACTCGAGAGGAGACTTGAAAATGGACTCGAGAAGGGACTTGAGAGGGGACTTGAAAAGGAACTTGAGTCGGCGGGACCCCCGACGGTGAAGGAGCTTGAGTCGGCGGGACTCCCGATGAAGAAGGGACTTGAGTCGGCCGGAGAGCAAGTACTGGAGCCGAAACTGGAGTCAGGACCATGGCTGCTGGGGCCGGAACTGGAGCCGGAACCATGGCTGCTGGGGCCGGTACTGGAGCCGGAACCATGGCTGCTGGGGCCGGTACTGGAGCCGGAACCATGGCTGGAACTGGAGCTGCTGGAGCACGGGCTGGAATATTGGCCTTGCGTCTCTTATGGCGCGTTTCCACTACAGCGCGGAGCACGGTTTAAGAGAGCTGTGACGTCAGCGGCCCGTTTTTGGTTGCGTTTCCATTTGGCCTAGTACAGGCCGGCGGGTCCTAATTCACAGTTTTTCTGGCCTCATAAAATCGTGGGTCTAGGGCCAGAGACAACGAGGCTGAGTCGGGCTGAGTATGCTAAACTAGAGAGAGAATCGCTGGCAAGGGGGCTACAACTACAACAAGATGGACATATTTGACCGTGATTTAATTGTAATACACGTTTCAAAATGATGCCGAAGTAACAACATACTGATACCGGTTAGTAAAAACCATGAATTAATGCTTTGACAAGTCTGCAGACAGACGGCAGGCGAAAAACCTTTTAAAATGCGTGTTTTCTAAATGGAGATTGGCTAAGCTAACGCAGTATATGCTCCGACCGTCCACACTCACAACAACGGCCTATACAGACATAAATAAAGCAGCGACTGTATTCACCATGACACAGGCAGTCTGTGGTTTGTACTTGTTTAACTTTTGTCTAGTTTCTGAACAGATATGAGGAGCTGTGAGCTCTGAGTGCTAACAGATAACGGCTGTGTTGTTTTTCTGGGGTTCTCATTGAAGATGACGTCACGGCTCCGCCTACACTGCGTTACTATAGATACTACCCCAGTTCCTAAACTGTAATGGAAATGCGCCATAAAGTGAGCCAGTCCTAACGAGGCCTAGCCATACCGAGCGAGGCCGAGCGAGGCCGTGTAGTGGAAATGCGCCATTAGAGATCTTTAGAGGATCCGTGGACCTCCAAACGCCAGGTGGGATCCCGAGAAAGGGTCCGATAATGGAGACTGGCACTCAGGGCTGCGTGGAAATACTCTGAGCCATTCAGGCAACGAGCTCCTCAACCATGGCCTGTTGGCCACCTCCATTTGTGCCTTTTTGAGGGCAGCCTCTTTGTCCCTTCTAGCCGAGGTTCTACTCCACTCAGCATGAAGACACCGAAGAGTGTACTCTAGATCGAACAGCTCCAAGTCAAAATGAAAAACCGCTGGGTCCATAGTTGGTCGGTTCATTCTGTCAGGATTCGGGAAAAGGTAGGACCCAAATGCCGTTTAAAAAGGGAAGCAAGTTTCAAAATGTAACAAAAAGCGAGCTTTATTTACAAAAAATAGCTGTTGACAATGAAAAATACTTAACAAAACCATGAATCCAAAGAGTAGGTAACACGAGGTAATCCAAAGAGTAGGTAACACGAGGTAGCATCCAGACAAAACTGACCGTGACAAACATGAAGGGTGACAGGAAAGACAATAAACCAACAAGGAGCACAGGGGAAGACAAGACTAAATACAAAGAAGGGTAATCACAGGACAAGACACAGCTGGGCAGGGGAGGCAGAAACACAAGGGCAACATGTGAACACAATCAGACAATCAGACACATGAGGGAAAACACAGGAAGGAAGACAAGACACAGGGAGAACAGAATTTCAACATAAAATCATGACCAGACAGACAACTAAGATCGTGACAGAAAACTAGGATTGTGACAGAAACAAAGCCTACGTATTCCCCAAATGTAAATTTGCACCGCAACAATGTTCATATGTTTACTACAGTTTATGTCTTTAAAGTTTGCACCGCAACAATGTTCAGATTGTAGCAGGATAAACTGTTCAGCCCTATCACCACACGGGGCAACCTTTATAAAGAGGGGTCAGTGTCGCTCTTGCTCCCTCTTGCTCTTTGGCATGAAAGCCACTTCCGAGTTCCGCTGACGTGCTTTCTCCGCTAGCACCGGTGAGTTTGCAGTGGCTGCCGTTTGTTGTACACCTAGCATGACAATTAGCCTAAATACTAAATGTATCGCTGGTTGTAGACCCTTGCAGGGATCCTGCAGCCCATGTCTGCTGCCGCTGTAAATGAAGCTCTCCTGCTGTGTGTTTGTCTGAACTTGGCCTGATCGGTAGGTAGACCTTCTGCTTGTCTCATTCTTCCTGAATGATTTTAATCTAGTATTGTTATTGTAAACTCACCTTAAGCTTAATGTCTGCTAGGCTCTGCGCTGAAAGCGTGATAAAGGACTGCAGTTTTGCCTCTACGTCTGTGTTGCATCCACGACTGCTCTACCTCTACGAGTGTCTTGCCTGCCTGACTGAGTGTTGCCTGGACGGCTGGTCTGCCCTCACGGCTGTGTCTGTCTGCACAGCTGGCTTGCCTGCCCTACTGTGCTTCCCCGCTACCCTACTGCCTGGCGGGTGTTGCTCTTGGCCTGCATTGGCTGCATAGCCTCTTGGTATCACTGTGCCTTTGTGTCACCTTGCCCTTCAGTACGGGACCATATTTTAAACATTGTTATCGCGGACTGTTCGATTAATCTCTGTTTATGATTAGTTATTTTATTGAGTTAAGTTTGTTTTGTTTATTTAATTCAAGATTAAGTAGACCGTTAGGTTGATTTCCGTTCCTTTGGTTTAGTTTTCGACCCTGTTGCTCTAAATTTGTTTTGTTTATTTCAGTTAATATCAGTTAACTGAAAACAGTATTTCGTAGTATTCTTGACTTTTTATTGTCTTATACTTATCTTATGTGTTGGTCTGTGTATTAATTTGTGTTGACTGTTTATCCCAGTAATTGTGTCTTGTTTGCCCCTCTTTAGTTGCTGAGAGCCAAACGTGTGGTGCTGGTGTCCCCGGTGGTGGCTTCCCCCTTTGTGTGTCGTGCTGTGCTCCCCCCTGATTTGTGTTCCTTCGTGTGAGTGTGTAGTGATCACGGGTGCCTTAATTTACTTTGTTGGGATCCCTCTCACCCCTCGTCACCTCCACACACTGGTAAGCCTCAGCATCCCTGAATTAAGATTTCCCCTTTTCTTTCCAGTGTGTATGATGATCTTACTGTGTTTCTAATGATATTTTAATGCCAGAAATAAAACATTTGATCAATTGGAACCACGTCTCCTGCCCCTCAGTATCACGAACCTGAGTGCCTTGTTGGTACTTTGAATAATTATTTCCTTGGGTGCAATTCCCAAGGTGGCGTTGTCTGGCTTTTAGTGGAACAGGATTTCCAACAAACACCCCCACGTGCCGCCACAATATGTTTACTACAGTTTATGTCTTTAAATTTTGAACCGCAACAATGTTCATATGTTTACTACAGTTTATGTCTTTAAACAATGCACCGCAACAATGTTCACTCCTAAGTTACATGGAGATTACTTTGACTCACGAGTTCTGCTGTTATCTTATATTAAATTGCTATATGTAAAATCATATCATGGTTGTCGGGCTGTTCTGTTCTTGTGTGTCGTTATGCGCGTGTTTGGATACGCCTATTAGTGCGTGCGTCCTGTGCACACGTTTTTTTAAATGTTTCAGTCACCAGGTGATAGGGGTCGCCAGTCTCTGGCACTGTTATTTTGGGGGTCGGGCTGAAAAGTTTGGGAACCCCTGCCGTAGCAGATGCTATTGCAGTAGTCAAGTCGTGATGTGATGAATGCATGAATCAGGGTTTTAGCAGCAGAGGAGGAGAGTGATGGGCGGAGACGGGCAATGTTTTTGAGGTGGGAAAAAAGGCAGTCCTGGTGATGTGATTGATGTGGTGATTGAATTTGAGCTGACTGTGGAAGATGACTCCGAGCTTGCGGATGTGGGGGGGGGGGGGGGGGGGCGGGGGCCCCAGGCAGGCAGGCGGGGGGGCCGGGGGGCCCCAGGCAGGCAGGCAGGCAGGCAGGCAGGCAGGCAGGCAGGCAGGCAGGCAGGCAGGCAGGCAGGCAGGCAGGCAGGCAGGCTGGGGGGGGGGGGGGGGGCCGGGGGCCCCAGGCAGGCAGGCGGGGGGGCCGGGGGCCCCAGGCAGGCAGGCAGGCAGGCAGGCAGGCAGGCAGGCAGGCAGGCAGGCAGGCAGGCAGGCAGGCAGGCAGGCAGGCAGGCAGGCAGGCAGGCAGGCAGGCAGGCAGGCAGGCAGGCAGGCAGGCAGGCAGGCAGTAGAGTGTTGCTGTCTAGGGTGAAGTTGAAATTCTGGATGGTTTTGGTACGGGATGGGGGCCGATGATGATGATAATGATGTTAAGTAACGTTGCTTTCGCTGCACTTCCACCCGATGCTACTAGAATCTTTCAAATGGCATGTTAAAAACAATATGATGTTTCAAATCATTTATTTATTTAGTAAGTAACCGTGTCTCATAAAGCATTTTTGTAACCCCAGCCTGTCAACACAATCAGTTCACATTTTTTTAAATAAAGTAAATGCCTTGTCAGAGAGAAATAAGGCTGGGAATAATTGTCACACAAAGAAAATAGTGATAAGCACAGAGCCAAAGAGCTACAACCCAGCTTCCGGTTTTGTGCAAACTGCGTGCGCATCACTCTCACTCTTCAATGGAAATGTTTAGATGGATTTTAGGAACTTCCCTCTCCATTCTATTGGCTCTAACGATTCAAAAGAGGTGTCAATCATCAAAATTGACCAAGTGGGCCCAGAGATATGGCAAATCCACCCAAATGACCCCAGAAGTGTTTGTTTTTTTGCTAAACTTCTCTAAAAAGGTCAAATGTCACTTGTTTTGCATCAATCTTGATACAGGGTACTTATTATATGTTATAGTTTGGATTCCTAAAGCTTTTAGTCTATTATCCCGTCATTCAAGGGTGGTTTTTATTCACTATAAGTAAGTAGTAAAATATTCTTTGAGTGCTTTTACTCCTAATACTTTAAGTACATTTTCCTAATCGTACTTAAATACTTAAGTTGAAGTTCCATTCTCGATGCAGTAATTAAACTTTAAATTGAGTATTTTTGTTATCTGAATACGTTTTCCACCACCAGCTATGAGTGCTCCAAAGTCAAAAAAAGAAGGGTGGGAGGTGGACTATTTACAGTTTGAAAAGTAGGAAGAAGAAATGTAGTACTGACGGGACCTTCTGATGCCATGGTCTGAAAACAGTAAACCTGTATGAGAGGACCTCCTGTGCTCACAGAGCTCCACAGACCGTCAGAGCTCCACAGACTGTCAGAGCTCCACAGACCGTCAGAGCTCCACAGACTGTCAGAGCTCCACAGACCGTCAGAGCTCCACAGACTGTCAGAGCTCCACAGACCGTCAGAGCTCCACAGACTGTCAGAGTTCCACAGACTGTCTGAGCTCTACAGACTGTCAGACTGTCAGAGCTCCACAGACTGTCTGAGCTCTACAGACTGTCAGACTGTCAGAGCTCCACAGACTGTCTGAGCTCTACAGACTGTCAGACTGTCAGAGCTCCACAGACTGTCTGAGCTCTACAGACTGTCAGACTGTCAGAGCTCCACAGACTGTCTGAGCTCTACAGACTGTCAGACTGTCTGAGCTCTACAGACTGTCAGACTGTCAGAGCTCCACAGACTGTCTGAGCTCTACAGACTGTCAGACTGTCAGAGCTCCACAGACTGTCTGAGCTCTACAGACTGTCAGACTGTCTGAGCTCTACAGACTGTCAGACTGTCAGAGCTCCACAGACTGTCTGAGCTCTACAGACTGTCAGACTGTCAGAGCTCCACAGACTGTCTGAGCTCTACAGACTGTCAGACTGTCAGAGCTCCACAGACTGTCAGACTGTCTGAGCTCTACAGACTGTCAGAGCTCCACAGACTGTCAGAGCTCTACAGACTGTCAGGGCCTTATCACAGCCTCAGAGTCTCTGTTGAGAGGAACAGTCACTCAAGCCTGGGTTTGTCAGACAAAATGGTCCTGAACCTGTTTTGACTGACACCTTGTTTGCCCCTGCAGCTTTTTAAAGTAACCTTTCCCACATGCCAGAGTTAAAGTTTAGTAGGCCAAGCCCTGCAATGTGCCTGGGCAGGAATGAACGAGCGACAGGCGGCTGTCTGCGGCGGGGAGAGGGAGCTCGATGGGAAATGAGAGCACATTCCTTCTAGTTTTCCCACACACAGAACCAGCTTAGTGAATGCTATCTTATCAGAGTGTGCACGAGGTGATGCGTATGTTGCACCATGTATGTCTGCATTGTGGCCTTTGTGTTTTTCTGCTTGCTGTTTAGGTCAGCAGGTGAATGCTGTTGTGCTGCTGCAAAAGTTGTTCTGGATTTGGTCAGATTCTGGAAGCTGTGTCAGAAGGCAACACACTCTTCTTCACTTGACATCTTCATCATGCTACTGTATGTGCTGTTCTGGTTAGTGCCACTGAGAACACACACACTGTAAAACCTGATTAGTTCGGAGTACTCAAACTTATTTGGAAACTGATTACCACACAAGTTTTAAGTCGACTAACTTAAGACTATAGAGTAAATGATTGATCAAAAATGATAAGTTACTTAAACTTAAAGGTGGGGTAGGTAATTTTGGAGAAACCAGCTCGAGATCGCTAGAATTTGAAAATACACAGCCGGAAAAAATCTGCCACTTCCTTACAGAGCCCCTCCTCCAACACACACGAACGCGCACATGACCAATGAGGGCACGAGATAAGTTTGTGCACAGATGGAAGGCTGACAGGCAGGTAGGCCATCCAGTTATTTTAGCCGGGCCGGCTAAAATGATTGGTCGTACTTTTTACAGTACTACGGCTTCCACAGATGACATTTTTTTTATGGATTTTTTGTCAAAGCACTTAAGATATTCATTGCTATCGGGATGTTAAGAGCATTCCATGGAATATAACAAAAAGTGTATCTCGAGCCGGTTTCTCAAACTTACCTACCCCACCTTTAATGATCTTTATAGCAGCGGGAGCAAACGCTTGCCTCGGGGAGGGAGAAAAAAAAGCCACAGCGGAGAATAAACAGCGGGAAGTCTTCTTCGCTGCTTTTGTGGCAGACTTCAGCGCCACTTACAGGCCTGGCAAATGTACTACAGCGTCTCCAGCACTTTCGAGCAGCAATGGAGGTGGAGAGTTGGCCCAATAGCCGTAGCGCCACTTCTGTGACGTCATAGAAGTGTTCAAATCTGGATCAGTTTTTATCAGATCCGTTGCAGCCCCTTTTTTAGAGATTTGGGTATGGAGGAAAATAGAGAGGGTTGTGTTTTCTGACACTTGGTGAGTTCCCTGGAACACCGGGGACACATATTCATGTATAAAAGCCGTACAAAAGTGCATTTTGCATGATAGGTCCCCTTTAAATAGTAACCCATGTCCATATGTTTATTTTTGGGTAATAGATTTAAACTATAGGGCTATCACTATGGGCAGCAACGCTGTAAATATTGACAAATAAATCCAGCAAAATGGCACAAAAACTGGTAGTCGCCTGGCTGGGTGTGTAATTCCCAGCCTGACTTATTGTCCCAGTCCGACCCTGGGCAGAAAAGAGAAAGATTAAAATGTCTGTGAGAGCGTCTGTGTTTTACCTGTGATTCCATCCGGAGGGCCGGCCATTTCTCTAAAAAAGTCCTCGACCAAGGGATTTTCCTGGCGAAGTCGTCTGCATGAGCATTTCTATCAAGATGAGGTTCTGTAGAAAGGCCAGTTCTGTTCAAGTTACCTTGAATCTTGAGTCTCACTGCTACGCACCAGCTTCAGCCTACGGCAAAAAGAAATGTGCAGTGTTTTAATACAAGTTTGCAGTTTTCTTTAGCTTACTGTCACTAGCAAACATGCCTGTGTGTAAGCCTCAACGTAATTGTGGAAAACAGCTCTAGCTAGCTACTAGTTTAATTCAGGAGTATTCAGGAATAACATCACATTTACCAGATAATAGAGTGGTGCAGTGACGCGTCCTAAAACCCGGAAGTAAGCTGCGCATGGGTTCCCTCGACAAAAAAGCAATGGGATTTCTCCATATCAATCATAAATCTATCGATTAGATTTATGATTCGAAAATGATAAAAGTAGGGTAGACATGTGGACATTATCCGGCTGAACAAAACGTGCATTTATCAAACAGGTTCGTTTTCCACAGACCTTATTTCGAGCTATTTTCCAAAATCCTATGGAGAAATCCCATTGCTTTTTT